TTAAATAGGACTCAAGCAAGTGAAAATACTCAATACAAAATTAAGAGGACTTGTTGCATGATTGGGAAAAGTTTCGAAGTGGAACAGTCAGTTGGATGATTCAAAATCACGACAGCATTAAGTGCGAACGACTAGCACAATGAAGGGTTTACTATACCTAGCAGACAACAATACTACATACTCATTGTGATTTATAAGGTGAACGTTTTTTTGACAAAAAACCCCGATTTGACAGGATTGACAGGCGAACAAAGACCACATTTGTTTTTCTAGCTGGAAACGGAAACTAGCTGTCTTACAATACTAATTCGATAAGCGAAACAGTTAATGTTTAACTATCTGAAAGGAATTCGAGCAAACGCATCCTGCAAATCCCCTCTTAAACAAGGTCACAGTTTCATATTCTTTCCGCTTATCTATGAAAGAGAAGCATAATGACTGTCCAAGCGGGAAAGCGAAATTAAATTGAAATAGACCTTACCGCTTCATGGCACCAATCCTTAAGCACTTCGAGATTCCCGTGGACGATCGACTATAACGGAGGAAAGAGGGGGAAAGGGAAAAAGACGTAAAAGCCATTGGCTGCCACAAGTCGTTTATCGATCAGTACGCACAGAAAAAAAACATTGGCACGATATCTTCAATCTCACAGGCTGAGGCACAGGGGACGCGACCAGGCATCGAGGCAATGTGTTATAGTAACTGTGGTATCGTTTTGTGTGTGGACGATAAGCTACTTGAACCTCGGGATGGGGAAAGTAGACCCAGGAAACGAAAGCAGTAATTAGACCCGTCTATCAAGATCGCCAATTTTAATCTAAAAGTGCATTAGTGTCCCATATTATAGGCGAGTGGGTATACCGCATTCGGTTAATTTAGAGCCAGAACAAACTAGGGGATCAATGCTTTGTTCTTTCCGCGATAGTATTATTACTTCGGAGTCACTACCCCGTAGAAAGAAACGTAGCGTGTCAGGCGATAGGAACAAGCCAATAAAAGGAAACGAAAAGACAAATGCGCGGATGAATCTAGAACCAACGTTGGA